TATTGAAAACTTGGAACTTGGCTCGGCACCTGTGGCTCAAGTGGCTAAGGTGCCAGCCATATAAACCTAAAGTGGCGGGTTCAAATCCAGCCTGGGCCCACCAAACAACAATGACGGCTACAACCAAAAAATAGCCAGGCGTTGTGGTGGGCACCTGTGGTCCCAGCTACTTGGGAGGCAGAGGCAAGAGACTCGCTTGAGCCCAGGAGTTGGTGGTTGCTGTGAGCTGTGATGCCATGGCACTCTACCCAGGGGGACAGCTTGAGGCTCTCTCTCAAAAAAAAAAAACCAAAAAACACAGGAACCTTAGAAATACTATACAAGGTGAGCTGACCAAAGCAGAAGCCAGGCCCTTTGTGATTTCCACAGTACTCCTCCAAATTAGCAAGGGTATAGCTACCTCACATCTTTTATTTAAAACTCCATCCCAAACCACTGCTTCCTTTGCTTCCAGTAGTTTCCTGGACAGACTGATGCTACGTTGGCTTCACGTTCAGAATTAGAAGATGAAAGTATTTTGTCACAGTAAGGGTTAAGATTTTAAGGTATGGCACAAGAAACACTGAGTTCCAGTCCAAAGTCTGGCTGAAAGCTAGGGCAAATGATACCATGTCTCTGAGGCTGTTTCGTCATCTGTAAAATAGGGGTATAACCTCCACCTGCCAGGGTTACTGTGGGGATTAAGGAGATAATACAGCTTTAAAAACTTAATAGCTAACATACACCAAGTGATTATTACAGGCCAAATACTATGTAAAGGATATTTAAATTTATAAGAATAAAATGTTGATCATAGTCCTGAGGCATAGTAAATCAGTAAGTTTTAATACTTATGGCTTGTATGCATGTCACCAGGCTATCTGCTGCTGCACTTTTGCATATTGGGACAGAATTTACATACCATAAAATCCACCTGTAAAAAACATTATCCAGGGCTTGGCACCTATAGCTCAACCGGCTAAGGCGCCAGCCACGTACACCTAAGGTAGCGGGTTCGAATCCCCAGCCCGGACCCGCCAAACAACAATGATGG